GGTCTCTGTTTTTTAAGTTCGTTATATATTCTGGTAATTAAATGTCTTCTTTTACCTGTTAAGATTCAGCTACACCCTTTACCACTTTGGGAGCCTTTCTACATGTTTCCCTGTCTTTGGGGTTTTTCATTCCCTCAACATTTTGCATGCCTGAATCCTTCTTACCCTTCATCACCTCTTCTAAAATAGCCTTTTCTACTTCTCTAGCCTACCTCATTATGCACTTTCACCCATACCTTCCTGTTTCCTTTCTAGTACCACAAGTGGCAATTATTTTGTTCGTCTACCTGCAACAGACTGTTTTCGTCTTGTAAATATAAAATTCGATAAAATATCTTCATTTCAAGACTATGTCTGTCTTCTTTGACATTAAGTCTAAGTCTTTACCACATAGAATTCCTAATACTTAATAAACATTTGGAAACATTTGCTGAAGCCAAGTATGGTGGCATATACCTGTAATTTCACAACAGGTCTCTGAGGCAGGATTTGAAGTTCAAGGCCAGCCTGGGTCACACAGATAACATGATTCTGTCTAAAAAAGTATGTGTGTATATGTATGTATGTATGTATGTGTGTGTTTCACAAATCCCCAATATGTTGGGGGGAGGGGAGGAGTAGTATGATGAAAGAATAACTGAGAAGCTAATGAAATAAACAAAACTTTCATGAATTTTAAGAGTTCAACACTTATCATGGAGGAGGGGCCCTGGCATATATCTCAGGCTTCTAGTTGAAACCCTTGCTGAAAGATAGTGTTCTAGGAACAGGGACAAGTCAATCTTTAGAGGGACTGAAACCCAGTACCAAATTGTCTGAATCTGAGCATATTGCCCTTGCAGAGGACCACAATTTGATTCCCAGCATCTACATCAGGCAGCTCAAAACTACCTTTAACTCCAGCTCCTGGGGAATCTAACCTCTGACCTCCACAGGCACCTGCACTCACATGCACAGAAACACAGTCATATATACATAATTAAAAATAACAAAAATAAACCTTAAAAATTATTTCAATCTCAGGCCGGGCGTGGTAGCACACGCCTTTAATCCCAGCACTCGGGAGGCAGAGGTAGGTGGATCTCTGTGAGTTCAAGGCCAGCCTGGTCTACATAGTGAGTTCTAGGACAGCTGGGGCTGCAGAGGGAGACCCTGTCTCAAAAAGACCAAAAAAAAATTTATTTCAATCCCTTATTAAGTCAGAATAATCTGAGTTTACCTCCCTTAGCTGCCAGAAGAAAACAACTACTTTCTGGAGGAATATATCATTATCTAGCACCTACTAGAACAAAATCACTTAAGAGGTAAAAAATGTATAAAGGAGATACTGATGTTTATATTGTCTTACACAGAGAAAAATAACAAAATGAGAATTTCACTAGAAATTGGAATCCATAAAAATCAAGTGAAGAGTTTAGAAAAACTACAAAATACAGAAAAGAACATAAAACAAATAGAATAAAAGATCTAACATGTAAAATAAGAGAAAGTAAGCAGAAGCCACAGTTTAGAGAAATTGGTAGAGAACTGTGTGTACATGTTCATGTGTGTGTACACTCTATCCTGATTAAAAAAATAATAATAAGGTCTCTCCCTAAACCTGGACTTTACTGATTCAACTATGTTGGCTAACCAGCAAGCTCCAGGGATCTACTCTGCCTCCTTGTGGCTAGAATTACAGGTGCGTGCCATTGCCCCTGGCTTTCTGCATTACTGTTGGGAATCCAAATTCAGTTCCTCATCCTTGCACAGCAAAGACTGCCAAAGAAATTTTCAGAACTAATAAAACAAGCCAGAAATTCTAGGAGTTCAAGTAGGATAACTACAAAAAAAACACACTCAGGTAATCATGCAAAACTACTGAAAACAAAAACAAAAAGAAATTTTACCAGAGCACATTACTTTCAAAGAAAAACCAAAACTTACAGAAATTATTTAAACATAAATGAGAGAACACACAATAGAACCCAACTGAATAGCACACACACCGTAGAGAACACACAATAGAATAGCACACACAGTAGAGGACACACAATAGAACAACAGCACACACGGTAGAGGACACACAATAGGATAGCATTTCCAAAGTTCATTAAAAAAAAAAAAAAAAAGTACTGCCAGTATGGAACTGAATATCCAGTAAAAATTTCCTTTAAAAAATGAAAGTAGAGGCTGGAGAGATGCCTAGTTGGTAAAGCACTTGGCTGAAGAGACCAATGTTTGTAAGAGTGTTAGAAAATACAAAAATCTTAGATGCAATATTTATTCACAAAAAGCAAAATTCTGTTCTAAAACCCAAGAAGTAGTTGAAGTATCAGAAAGCAACTTGTTCTGCTGTGTCTCAGAAGAACTTTTCAGTCCTGCAGGGATGGGGAATGAATTGGAAGAGGGTTGGGACTACAGCAAGGGCACCTCTGAGTTCTGGTGAGGTGAAGTTGTCTGAGACTGTAGTGATAGGAAGGAATGGATTTTTAAAATAAAGTGTCTGTAGCTTATGAAATAGTGAAAAAAAAAAGAGGCAGGCCAGTAGATAGAGTCATTCTTATATTATAAAGAAGGAATTCAATGATAGACCTAGAGGACGTTGTACTTAAGAGGAATTTTAAAGACAGGGTATTAAGACCATTAAGAAAACTACTACAGAGCACACACCTGTGAGGTATACTCATGTGCACACATGTGTGTATGCATACCATGGTCCATGCATGGAGGCCAGAGGACGACTGTGGGAGTTGACTTTCTCCTTCCCCCATGTGGGTCCCATGGAGCAAACTCAAGTCATCAGACATGGAGGCAAGAGACCTTATCCACTGATCCATCTGGCCATCCCCAGCACAACTTTTTTTTTCAGCTTGTTTTATGTTTTATTGTTGTGGAGACCTCAGGCCTAGACCAGGTATTTGCGCAGTGGGTACAACACTCCTCCCACTGCTGCTTCTGGATCTTCAGCTTCTCCTTGTGCTTGGTGGACCGGCAGCACAAGACTCTTGCCTTCTTGAGCCACAGGTCCATGGCTTGTATTTCTTGCCTTTCTGACTTCGGTTAATGATGGTGAGAACACGGGATTGCAAACACCTTGTTCTTGGAGCATGTGGACACATTGCAGCCTGTCACTTTGGCCGCATGCAGCTAAGTCAGCTCTACCTCCAGATCATCCAGCCATTTCAGCTGCTCCTCTTTCTTCTGAGGAGGCCCATGCCTTAATCTTGGCCACTGACTCTGCATGTTTGAGAAAAAGAGCTCAGGCATAACTTTTTAAGAGTTCTTTCTTGGGCTGGAGAGATGGCTCAGAGGCTAAGAACATTGGTTGTTCTTGCAGAAGACCTGGGTTCAATTCCCAGCACCCACATGGCAGCTAACAACTGTCAGTAATTCCAGTTCCAGGGGATCTGACAGCCTCTTCTGTCCTCTGCGGCATTGCATGGCACAGGTGCACTTACCTACCTGCAGGCAATACACACATACACATAAAATAAAAATAAATAAAATATTTATTTTTCAAAAAGAGTTCTTTCCCTGCTGGGCTTGGTGGCGCAGTCAGAGACAGGCGGAACTCTGTAAGTTCAAGGCCAGCCTAATCTACATAGTGAGTTCCAGGACAGCTGGGGCTACAGGGAGACCCTGTCTCAAAAAGACAAAAAAAACAAAAACAATAAAAGTTCTTTCTTAATAGCCTTTCTCAGGCATAAAATTCTATATCAAAAGAAAGATACAAACCCATCAAGTAATTATACATTAATATAGTTACTTTACTCACTGTCTTCCTCTACCAGACTTACTAGGCTATAATTTTATTTTGCTCTTTTCTTTTTTTCTTTTTTTTTAGCAGGATGTCACTATATAGTCCAGGCTGGCCTTGAACTTGCGAGACTATTTCCTCCTCCCAAACTCTGGGATTACAGGCATGTGGACCATCTCCAACTCCAGAATATATATCTATAAAGGCAGGGGCATTGTCTCTTTTATTCAGGTTCTATCCCCCTGAGCTTAGATTGATACTCTGTGTACACCAAGCACCCCCAAAATAATTATTAAATGAATAAATGAGTGAGTGAATGAGGCATTGTTATGTTACACAGATCACCTTCTTTAAAATAGCAAAGATGTTCTTTTCCATCATAAACTAATTTTATCTTAATTAATGTGTTCAAAGTCTATTAAAATGCTTGAAAATAAAGTGACTGTTTTTTAATGTTTGCAGGACTATCTCAAGCAGGTGCTGGACATTGATCTTCATGCTCAGATCCATTTTGGCAGGGTTTTTATGAAGCCAGGGTATGAAAATCATTTTATCTACTATATGGGATTGGTTTGGATTGCTTTAACTAATCAAATTTTAAATGCTTTTTTTTCTTACACTTTCTATTGTGCGTTACTTATTTTAATAAAAAAAA